ATGTGTATTTATTATACATCATGTGTATTAAACTGTAAAAAATTTTATATTAAAATTTATACCCTTTTTTATGGTATGTGTATTGTATTCAAATATGATGTATACAATAGAGGGTTAAGATTTCAGCGCTTGATCCGCAATCTTCTGTCCATTGGAAATTGTTGCATTTCTTTAATAAGTCATAAAGGGGTGCAGCGATTGTTGAAATTTTTTTTATAAATCGATGATAGTAGTTCATAAGTCCTAAAATTCGTTGATTTACTCAGGAATTGGAGCATATTAATTATCGTTTCTAGTTTCTCGTCTGAGGGCATAAGATCTTTGCTGGATATGACATGACCTAGGTATTTTCTTTTTCTTTAAGAAATTTGCTCTTTTCGTAATTTGCTTTAAGACGGAACTCCGACATTCGTTGGAATACTTCTATAGGTTTTTTAGATGCTCTTCATCCAAAGAACTTATAATTATTAGATCGTCAATATAGTATGCCGAAAATTAGGTTCATGGTCATTTGGAATATCGCTGACGCTGGAGTTATTCCGAATGACATTCTTTTGAATTGAAATAGTCCTTTGTGTTAATAGCTAAAACTTCTTCGAATGAGAATCTATTACTATTTGTTGGTATGAGAAGTCAATAATTGAAAACTTTTCGACTTTTCTTAATTTGTTAAATATTTCCTCTATTCTGGGGATAGGGTATATGTCCGGTGTCAACATGGATTTATAGTTATTTTTAGTCTATGCAAAGCCTGATATTCCCATTGGGCTTAATTATTGGTACCAGAGGACTGACCCATTCCGAAAATTTTATAGGTTCTATTATGTCGTCTTTAATCCATTTTGTTAGTTCATCATCGACTTTTTCTTCTAAAGCATATGCAATTTTTCTAGGGGCGCAAAATTTTGGGGCTGCATTGTCTTTTATACTCAAATGGACTTCCATATTGTTCAATTTCCCTAACTTTTTATCGAATATTGTTACGTATTTCTCCGTTAGGACTTTTAATTCTTGTCCCATGTAATATATATTATTATTATCGTATGTATCTTCCGTCTCTGCTAATATCGATTCTTTACATACTAATTCTCTGAATTCCTTTATCCAGTTTATACCTATCAACGATAGTTATCAGCTTTCACTAATCAAAGGTAGGTATTTTATGGTTAACTTTTACGTCCACGCTGCCTATGATGGCGATTTCGTCACCTTCTTACGTCTTTAATTTTGTGCCCACTCATGAATAATTTTATCGGAGTTGATTTTATTCCATGCCTTTAATGAAATAATTGATACTGATGCTCGTATCTAGAATCATGCTTATTTCCTTACCCTCTATACTTAGATCAATTTTGAATTTTTCTTTACAAGATTTGATATCCATCAAGTATATATACGATCTGTCTTCCTCTTTGCCTCTTTGATCGCAAAATTTAATCAGATGCTTATCACTACCGCATATGAATCAAGTTTTTTTGTCTGACTGTAATATTGATTGTCGTTATATTTATAGTTTTTATTGTTGGTGATGTAATTCTCCTTATCTTATCGTAAGAATATTGATACTTGTTATGGTAATAATTATTATTGTCATACCAATTATTATGTAGGTAATATTTGTTATCATTATTTTTATATTTGTACTGCGGGTTAACGTTACTATGTTTTTCATAATTGGAGTTGTCATTTATTATATCTAGTAAATCTGTTATCTAATCTCGTTTGGTGGGGATAATTGTCACTATAGCATTCCTGAACTCTGCTATTTTTATTACTATGTATATAGTTTATTTCATATTTTGTCTTCATTTCGTTCCTTTCCGGCTTGACAATAAAATATACCTTTTCTTTTTCGTTTATCAAGTCCATGGTTCGAAGAAGTTTTAATTTCCTCTATTCCCATATCTTCTTTTAGTAATATCATTATTTTGATCTCTTTGATTTCAAATCCGTTAATTATCTGCATTTTTTAAATTTTCTTCGTATTTTTCTTTAAAATTGCATTTTAGTGCTAACGCCTTTAGTGAATTTTGAGAAACTTTAACTAATTGTACTTTCCAACGGTGCTATTTTTTTCTCGTTGGCTATAAAAAATCTAGCATATCGTCATATTTTATTTTATTAATGAACTTAGGAGCGAATTTTAAAATAACTTTAAATCATACTTTGATAATGCCGTAGTGCTGCCCTTTTTTCATTGTTTATATCGTTTAATATGAATTATGCCTTCAATTTGGTACGAAATATTGTGAATGAATCGCTGTTTTCCTTAATAGAAATCGAAACTGACATTTTAGATAATTTTATATCGAATTAAAGATTTATTTTTTAATTTTTAGTTTGATGTTTTTTTAAATGTTTATTTAGAAAACAATTAAGGGTTTTTTAAATCAATATCTTTATTCTTTTAATTTATTAATCGTTTTAATTTAGACCAATACCAGTATAAGCCAATAATCTATTAAATTATTTTTTTTAGGACTAATTATCTTTATATAATTCTAATCTTGAGCTTTTAATATTGGAAAATTACTTTAAATTTTATATATAAATACAATCTTTTTAATATACATTAGTTTTGCAATTTAGAAATTTTAATTAAATGAATTTAAATTAAATAAAACTTATATATAGAAATAATTACATTGAAATAATATTTATTTATTCCCAACACAACTAAATATTTCTCATAAATATTTGGCACTTTGGAAAATGGTAAAAAAAAATGTTCTTATAAACGATTTGCAAAACAGTGTAATTAAATTGATGAAGCTAGAGAACATATTAATCAGAATATGAGTAATTTGTAAAAATATGTGTAAATTACAAAAATTATAGAATATAAGTAATAAAAATATGTGGAAATTACAAAATATCATTATATAGAGAATATATGTAACTTGAGAAAAATCCCTAATGTTAATTAATAGCCAAATTTTTTTTAACGATATCTATATTATAGTGCACACAAATTGAGCGTTTGCGTTTGCAGTACGTTTTTTAACCCAACACATCTTTGTTTAAATTGAAAGCAGTACGTTTTTTCCTTGTTTTAAAATTGAAACGTGATTTAATTTTTATTAAACAATATGGATTTCTTTAGTTTACAAGATAAACAACTAATTGCTAATTTTAATTATACAAGGATGAGGAGATCATTATAATTTACAAATAATGCAAATAAAATAATTTAATTACATTTTCAATTCTTTAATAATAAAAATGTACACTAGAACATGTAAGATTATTAAATATCTTATTAAAATAATATAATCATACCATCTTGCCCAATTTTATTTTATTGGTTTTTGAATTTTTTTATTATAATCACATAAGATGATGTCAAAATAAAATATTGTTAGCTCAATAAAACATAGTAAGATATAAATAGTCGATATCTTAAAAAATCAAACATTATTATTGTGTTTATATACATAATATTTTATTTAATTTCTAAAGATAATATTGGCTAAATTATATGTCAATGAATTAAAATCCTAGAAAAGCTTCAAATTTTGATCTAAATAATTAATTATTATGTCAAAATTTATAATATACATACACTATTAGATCTTAATTGTAACTTCTTCCAATCATGTTACTCCTGATATTTTTATTTATTGGATTTTCATAACTGTTGACTCAATCTCATTCTTTCATAATTTGATTATTATAATATTTATTTGTTTATCCTACCTTAATATATAATCTATATATTTTATTAAAAATGCTAAATAAATTTTGAATAGTTTGCTTATTAATATATATTTTTCAAAAATGGACACTATAATATGGAATATTACTTTATTATATATAAATAAACATATTTACAAAAATAAACACACTAAGAAAAAATTTATTTAATGTTTGATTTAAAGTTGTTTCTATTGAATTTGTTGGTGATAATTTAATAGTATTTTGATTTTTTGATTGCTTCATCAAAGTATGATACAATCTTGATACTTCACAATTGAAAAAGTATTTATTTGAATGGCTCATACTTTCCAAGCCTTCTGCCACTGATTGTAGATACAATCTAAAATTATATTAAATTTATAGATAAAAAAATATATTTTACTGGCTTTCAGATGGCACCCTTTCCAAAAGAGCCAAAAGTCTTTCACCCATGAGTGCATTTATTTTTGAACCAGTAGTCTTTGGTGTAGTTTCTTTGGACTAAAATTGTCAGTAGTTTTTCTGTCCTTTATCATTGGCTTCATGAATTTTATATATTCATATTCAACTTCTTTAAGCATGATACAGTTGGATCATTATGTGGAAACTCCAATGCTAATAAAAATATAATTTATCATTGTTCATATATATTTACCTTAAACTAATGGTTGATATCTATTATTCTAATAATAATATCAATTAATATATTCTAAATTTATCTAAAATATAATTAATGTATTCTAAAATTTTATAAATATCAATTAATATATTCTAAATGATATAATATCAATTAATATATGAGATTTATACTTACAATTTTGTATCCATTTTCAAATTTTAGCGCAAAATTAAAAAAGCATAAAAAAAATCAAACTAGTTTGCTTTTTTTTTAACGCTTGCCGTAAAAAAATCCAATTTGCACAATACCATCTAAAATGCATTATTAGCTTTTAAAACGGAGCGTTGCAACGCTCAATTTGTGAGCACTATTATATTAGAAATAGGAGGCTCCGAAAGAATTGAATTTCTACTCAATTTCCAGCTAAAATAAAGATAGAATTTATAATATTCATTACATATCAGCCACCTTTGTTGCTTACAATATATAAAATATACGAAATTAATTCTTGTGGTCCACAATATTTAATAGAGTTTAAGGTAAACGGATTTATTTTTGCCAACCTAATGACATAATTAATATGGGAAATATTTTATTAAATGATTACTTAAAGACGAGCAACATTTTATTGATACAATTTAATTAAAATTGTTATTAAAATATATATTCTCTATGTCTTTATATATTATATAAATAATCATTTCAGTACGTGATGGTGATCGCAAACGCTGAGGATGATTCTATAGAAAATTGGTGGTATCTTACGAGCCAGAATCACGCAACAAGGATTCCCTAATAAAATTACGGACCATACATTTAAACCATTTAAATCGCCATCTTCCTCTTTTTATGGCTTTTTTCCATAAGTTAGTCTATACATCAATGCAATATTACTTTAATTTGATTACTTAAAATATGCCAGTAGTTTTATACTATACATTCACTAAATCATATTTCCCAGAGGCGTGTCCGGTGATCGCATTGAAGCATGCATAAGCCCTATGATGATTATTTTATTTTCTCCCAATATATAATTCAATAACAAAATATAAATTATGTTCTTATATAGAATTTATCGATTAAAATTATCGCAAGATTATGTCTGTTTTTCATTACTTAAAGGGTTTGTTTGCAAATGTTATTTCTCCTTAGTCAATTTATGGGATATAAGTTAGTTATCAATATAACCTATCCTTCGATGTATTTATCTCACATGACCCTCTCATTTTTTAGTCTAAATGTAATTATTGACTCTATGCCCCCCCCCAACGTTTCACAATTATTTTTTTTCCGGAAGTATAAATCTTTCTTGCTTAAAGTATATCGAGTATCAATAATTCCCGTCAAACAAGAATTTTTTCATAGAATATTCAATCCTGTTCTTTTACAATGAGCATATCACCAATCGCATAGATCTGGGTCCGAATCTAGAAGAGCAGATTTTTCCTGAAGCCATGATTGATATATAGTTTTTCGGAATCAACGGCGTGATTCCGACTATTAATTTTAAAAATTGGCTTATTACATTTTAATAAAATTTGGTTGTTGTTTAGAAAAAATTAAAATTTTGTCGTTGTCTGGTCAACTTCACCACGGTCTTTAGAAATTATATATTTTAAATAAAAAATTATTATCATATCGATACGTTTTTAGAGGAAACATTTTAAAATATGATTTGGTTATTTTTTTCTCTACCTCGCTATTTTCGGTTTTTTTATATAATAACCATATTTATTATTATTTATTTGTAATTATTTTAAATATCAAAATATATTTATTATCTCGTCATTGAATGTTTTATTATATTTTAATAATAGTATACAATAAATGGTTATGTTTTATATGATTTTTAGAGTAACCGCAAATTATCTAATTTTAAAATTATTAATGAGCTTAAATTAGATTTTTATATCATTAATTGTTTGCTTAGGCGAATTCTTTGGGGGGAGGGCACTATTGGGTGAGTTTCTCCCCATGTATTGGAGATCTTCTAAGCTTTGGCTATATTAGATATATATTAAAATAATTTTTTTTCTAAAAATTTTGAAGTATAATTGTTATTAACTTATACTAATTTTTCTTTCATATTCTCCTTTATAGTTATATATTGTATACATATTATTATTTTTTTTTGGTGGGGGGGGGGGAGGGGGGTTATGTAACGGGGAAATTTTTATTAGCTTAAAGTAATATTTTCCAGAAGGGCAAACAAATGTCCCCCCCCCCCCTCCGGCTACTGATGTTTAACCAAACCCAAATTATTTTTTCACCAAAAAACTTCCGTCATGAACGGGACTCTATGCTGTCCAATACCTTTGGACATATCCCGCCCAACTATAGCGGTTTTAGCGTGCTTAAAATGATGGAATATATATTTTATAATTTATATAGCAAATTAATTATAATAAAAGGAAAATTTTCTTAAAAATTTACGGGCTTAGCATCTTAAGGATCATGTAAATAAATATAGAGATTTTAATTATATATAATGTTAAATATTTATTTAGTATTTATTAAAATATAACAAATGTGTTGATATATAAATATTCTAGATCAAATTTAGTATGTAACCTTGATCTAAAAAATTTTTTTTTTATAGTCTATAAAAATTTGCATGATATTTATATTCATAATTTTATACGCCGGATTAGTGTTGTTAAACGGCTCGTTTTGAGTCGATTTTTAAAAACGGCTAACTCAATATTTCATCCAGAAAAATATTACGCAAGCCTGAAGATTTTGCTCATAGAAGGAACAAAGGTCTAGACATATAGTAACGAAATCTCGAGGCTTAGGCAATATTTTTCTGGATGGAATATTGAGTTAGCGGTTTTAAAAAATCGGCTCAAAATGAGCCGTTTAACAACACTACGCCAGATAATTAGTTCAAATAATATAAATTTTATACCATAATTTTCTATAACAACTCTGGATATTAAGTTGGGCAGTTCTTAATCTTCTACTCCTATTTTTCTTATCTGTTCCATGTCAATACTTTTATCACGAAGCACTTTTTCGTGAAACTTTTATAGCGAAACCTTTAAGGCGAATACATTACAGCGAAAGTTTTATATCGAAGTCATTATCGTGAAAACTATTTCGAAGATATTACGGCGAGGTCAATATTGCGTTAATTGCTAATAGTTTCTATTTTATTTTGAAACATTTATTTTTACGATATTAATATTTATTAAAAATAACATTATATAAATGACTTATTTTTCTTACTACTATTTCAAATTATTATAACATCATATTAATAAAAAAATAAAAATAAAATATATATAATTATGCATATATTAGTTATAAGTAAAAAAAGCCAATAAACGAGGGGGAGGGGGAGGAAACGGGCACAAAAGTATTGGTTAAAACTAATCATCTTGTGGGATGAGGTTGTCTATGAAACTAATGTAATTACCCTTGTGAATCGCTATGGCTAGTCTTTGACTTAATAAGAAGCTTTCGCGAGGTTCATCAGTAAGTTTGCATATGTGAGAGCCAAGTTCCTTGTAAAAAGATAAAGCACATTTCTCAAAAGTTGTAAGGGTTGTGGAAATGATGGGAATGAATATGTATTCTTGAGAAATTTCGGAATATTTAGCTATTTTAAGTGACTCCTTTTTTTAAGAATGTTAATGGTTTGATTGGATGGTGCCAGATGATCAATACACGAGTAATTCCAAACCAAGAATTGATCACGCTTCCAAGGAATTTGAGAAATCCCGTCAGTACGTTTCCCATCAGATCTGAAAAGACAAGAAGATTGAAGAATAGAGGGAATTTGAGCAGATCTCAAAGCTCTAAGGATGATTGAATTGCATAAATTATGTCTAATGATACGACCTTTACACGAACGGCAATGGAGGCTATGTCCTCCATTACCCAAAACGGCTGAACTGCATCCTTAACATGTGTGGGAGGGTTATTAGGCAGTTTAAACGAATACCAAATGCGTGAGTGAGCTCATTATGGTTCAGTTGTAATTGTAAATTAACTAAAGGAATAGCTTCAAGGAACTCATGGCCTGAACCATTAAGCAGTGAGGAGAATAAAAGACGGTCAGATAATTGCATTCTGGAGGAAGTGATTCAACGCAGCTTGCAAATAGGCCTATCCCAGTTCTTCTGCTTATTCGTTTCAGGAAGAGGGTGATCAGCAATAATTCGTGCTTTCCACTCGATAATAGCATCATTATAGGAACGGTTAGATTTTATCAGAGACCTGCAGAGGTACCATTTGCACGGCCCGGCCCGGTTTTAAATTTTTAAGGCCCGGCCCGGATATTTTTAAAAAAAATATTTTACGGACCGGCCCGGATTTAAAAATTTAAGGCCCGGCCGGCTCGGAATTTTTTAAAATTATGTTCGACCTGGTATATACAAAAATTCACCTATGAGGTATTTTACCATATTTTTCAGCGAGTATTATCGCTTATTATTTAAAAAATACATTTAAAAAGCTAATATTTTGAGAATATTATATTGAATTTATAAAAATTATAAAACTGTTATTTATAAAAATGGATATTTTGAGCATATACTATATTTTATATTGCATTTATAAAAATAAAACTAATATTCATAAAAATGGTAATAATATTTGTCATATACTATATTTTATATTACATTTAAAAAAAATAAAACTAATATTTAATTTATAAAAATGGAAAATATTTTGAGAATATAATATATTGTATTTAATTTACTATATAATTTATAAAATAAAAATAAATCGCTATTTAAAAAAATGCATGTATAATAAATAGTATTTTGAAAATATAATATTAATATAATTTATTTTATAATATAAATTTTTAACAAAAGAAGATAATTGTATTATATAATATTGTAAAAAAAAATAATGAAAAATGTTGGATTAAAAACTTTCAAGACTCAAGGTAAATATAATAAATGCAATAAATATTTGACAGTTTGCAAAGTAAAAAACCAGCATGATTGACGAAACCCTATACTCAAGAAAGATATTAAAAATTCACAAATTATGATGAAGAAAGAGAAGCATATCTACCTTTTCAGGTTGAAGATTACTTCTTCTTTCTTCAAGAATTCTCTCAGTAATGGAAAAATTCCGCTCTCAGCTTGTTGCACTTGAAGCAGGAATTGCCAATACCCGTTTTGCCAATTTTGCTAAAATTGGAAATTAAATGTTTCATCTATTTTTTTATTTATGTAATTATAATATTCATCATTGGGTATTGACATATTACCAGAATTACCATCGCCCCATTTGTCATAAAACGATTCAGTTTGTTTAACAACAGTCGTAATTTGACTGGTCGATGGTATTTCATTTACTTCCTGAGCCTCTTGTAATTTAATATAATCTTTTATATAGTTTTCCGTCAACTTAAGATCTGTCCCTGACTACATACATAATTGCTTGAATTTGGGACAGAGAAAAAGAGAAATAAAATGATACTGGTGTAAAACAAATTTTTCAATTAAAAAATACTTTATATTAAGTAAAATCAATTTTATTTCTCCTTTTTCGCTTTGAAAGGTATTACAAACTTCAACAAGTGATATTCCTTTATTTGATTGTTTTGGTAAAATATATTCTAAAAATTTAGATATGAATTATAAAAAAATATATTAATAATACTTGAATATTGGGGCTTATTTAAGTTATTCCTTTATTTGATTGTTTTGGTAAAATATGTTGTAAAAATTTAGATATGAATTATAAAAAAATATATTAATACTTTGAATAAATTTGCAGGAAATTAATAATTAGATCGATCTGTGGGTGTTAGGTAGTGTTAACCATCGCCCAATATTATATTAATCATAACTATAATATAATATAATCTTATAACCATTAACTCATAATGTTAAAATTTTTATAAAAAATATTAAGGCCCGGCCCGGATATATTTAAAAAAAATTTTTTTAGGCCCGGCCCGGATATGTTTAAAAAAATTTTTTTAGGCCCGGCCCGGGTATATTTAAAAAATTTAAAATAAGGCCCGGGCCGGGTTGCCGGGCCTGCTGGTCTCTGGGTTTTATTAAATGAGAATTTACTATATTTTTTATTGAAAGACAATTAGATATGAAGGCTGTTAAGGCAAGATCGGAAGGAGATCCGATACCAAGTGCACCCATCTAGTGGGTAAAAAGGCTTGTGTCCATGCAATTTCATTTACAGTTTAGAATATTTTCGATTAGGATTTTAATTCCATTTTTAAACACCGAGAGGAATGGGGAATTTAAAAATGGGAGTTGATCGAAGCGCATATAGGATACGAGGAATTGAAGAAATTTTTCAAGAGGAAAAAAAATTTATGGGAGGTGAGAAGGGAAAATAAATCAGCCAACTCAAAAAATGCTTCGAGTGAGAACTGTAGGAAGGAAGATATTGCTGTGTTCCCCCAAACGGGGGCACCTAAATGATATAGTTCATCAAGGGTGGTCAGTTTAAAGTTGTTTGAATTTGGTTCGATTGAATTGAATGGGGTGAATTCGGATTTCTTAGGGTTGATAGAGAGTCCAATAGCAGACTCAGCCTCCTTGATCAAATTTACTGCTTTATTGACCTCATCATTCAAATCACTAAGGATACCATCATCAATATTCCAGGCATGTAAGGGTAATGTGTCATTAATACCTAAACAAAAAAATAGGGAACCTATAGGGTCTTCCTATTATATGCCCTCAAC